ATACATAAGAGATTGGTGAGTGGTAGAAAGATCATCTACCAAGTGGCTAGTGCATCAAAGGCAGTGGCAACCAGTGTGGAGTAATCACTTGACACATAATTTTGATGGCTGTAGTTTGGGTAGCCCAAGATAATTGGGGGTAGGAGGTTATTTAGATATTAGTTTAGGTCATCCATAGTTCTATTTTCAAGTCCTACCGGAAGTGGGAACTCAATAAGAAAAAAGAAGTTCGACATTTTGCAAGGATTGAGACTGGCAAAGATGAATAGATGATAAACTTCACAGATATTGTGGTTGAAGGGGTTGTTTAGGACCTATAGGATGATGTCATAATTGATGAATTTTTGATTGTTTTGCAGGGCCTAAGGTTGGGCTGATCCTTAAGCTACGGAATTATAATGTTGGAGGGTGACTAAAGGTAGTGGGCTGGTTTAATAACAATATTGGGAGCTAAGAATTATAGGTATCTCATGAGGGAAGTCAAGAAGTTGGCCACTGGATTAAATTCTACGTTCTATTGGACAAAGACCAACACAACTTTATTGACTCTTTGCACCATATCATAGTTAAGGCATTTAGACGATTCTAGGTAATAGTGGAGTGCCTAGTTGCCTTGTTGCCTAGGCGCTAGAATTTTATAAAATAAGAAACTAAATTCCCAATTATTTTCTAAGTTTTATATGCCAATCAGCATGACATATAAAATGAAAAGAATAGCAGTTCTCTTTATTAATAACATTAAATTTCTCTCATATATGGCAAATCTTCATATTTTAAAGACAATAGTATTTACAATCTTTTAATTTCAATATTTTCAAAAATAATAGTATATATACTATACATCACTTTCATATCAAATTAGCAACTCAAGAAGGCTATAGTTTTATACAAATAAAAGTTTAAGAATAAGATGGAGCGTAAGAAAAGAGAATGAACAAAGGGTGGAGTTACTGTTCTATTTAATGTAAGGGTGTTGACAAGATATGATTTGCTGCAAATTTTGAAAGATTTGATTTGATTGATTACAGATTTGAATAAATTTAGGAAAGATTAGATTTGAATAAAATTAGGAAAGTCATATCCTAGGATTAAGGGAAAGATTTAATCAATCCCTAATTGAGAGAGATTCTAGGAGTAATTGAGAGAGATCCTAGGAGTTTGTCTCTCCTATCTTTTCTTATTTAAGTTTTATGCTCAACATGTTTTATCAATACACTATCAATACAGCAGTATTTTTTTCTCTCCCTTTCTTCTTCTCTTCCTCTTTATTTTTCCACAAAGGGCAAGAGAGTAGTTAAAGGAAAACAGAAGAAACCTCTCTTATCCTTCTTTCTCTGTCTTCTCAAAACCCTTGGATCTTTTATATTTCATAGTAAAGCCTTAAAACACAGTGTAACTATATCATCACACATACCAATAATATTATAATAAGATTTCTGCCTTGTACTTTTGTTGCTTAAGCCATTAAGTGGGCACTTAGTCATATAGACATGCATCCTTTTGATACAAGTCAAGGTGTTCAGGCGGGGCACCCAACCAAAGGTGCCTAGCTGCCTTGACAATGCATTGACAACCATGGAGTGAATAGGGAATTTCAGCTTGATGTAGGGTGGGGTGTTTTCGGTGTGTTGTGTTTGTAGAGATTGTGTGTTTTGGACTTTCATGGTGTTTTTTTGATAGGTAAGAGTAATCAATTTTATTAAATAGCAGCAATATATACAATTGGTACATGCCACCCTTAGAGAGGTCCAAGATGCAGCCTCTCATATAAGAACATAAAAACAGGTTGCAACTAATGTGTTGGCCAATCCATCAGGCAATCTTCTAGTCCATTGTATTATCAAGGTCATGTTGCTAGTTAACCATTTAAACTTCTTTATTTCATTTTCATCTCTATAAACCCAAAGGACAAACTCCATTTTCTTTAACCATCGCATTACCAACTTGGAATCCCCTTCTACAATCAGCTTATTCAAGTTCCATTCCTTTGTTAGCAAACCTTGAATTACAGTAAGGAATTTATCTCTTATTAAGTCTCCCTCCCCCACCGGACCTGAGTACAAAACAAAAAAATATGGCCATCTTTTTTGCTAAATACCCCCAAAGCCAGAAGGAGCCAGATTACCTGGACTACTATCATCAAAATTCAGTTTGATAAAGTCTTCAGTAGGAGGTAACTAAACATAGAGTTCTAGTTTGTTCTTTGAAGAGCTATTTGCTACCTCTGCCTAATTTCTCCAATGTTTAACCAAATGTACCTCCACACTTCTCTCTTTTTCTAGAAAAATCTTGATTTCCTTTCTTTTTTTTTTTGATCAGCAAAAAGATTTCATTAAATATTAAAAATTAAAACTTAGTACAACTGTTGGAGGATTCCCACATCCCTTGGTAATGAAGATTACAGGTTGGCCCAGAATAGATTTGGTCTGTCAACTCCCTGTTCAGCTAGAACTTCTGCTGCCCCATTTGCAGTTCTTTTCGAGGCTGCACCTTTCGGCAGCTAGATCTTTTCTCAACCAAACAGGAAAATGCCAAAATGCGGGCTGCTAGGCTTATAAAAAGTTGATAGCCCACCCGAAAAGACGCGCCAAACAGGGCCTTAGTCTACTCTCTCTTATTTACCACCTATTGGAGCTACTCCTAGGTTCCTATGGATAACTTCATCCCTAATCCTATCCTTTCTAGTTTTTCCACTCATCCATCTTAGCATTTACATTTCTACCACATTCATTTTCTGGACATATTTCTGACTATCCAACACTTTGTTCCATGCAACCTAGCTGGCCTCACAACTGTTTTATAGAATTTTCCTTTTAATCTAAATGGTATTTGCCTACACATAAAAGTCCAGATACACCCCTCCATTTTGCCAATCCTTCCTAATTCGTTGAGTGACATCCTTTTCAATCTCTCCCTTGTTATGAGTTATTGAACCAAGGTACTAGAAATGGCTACATTGAATTATCTCTAATTCTTTGGGTGACATCCTAAGTGTATCTTTTTAATTGTTGACATTAGTTCTACTGACAGGGTTGGGTCCTGTTCTTTGAGACATTGTGGTTTCTTTTAAGTCATTAACTACTGCCAATTTATGTTATGATTCATCTAGAAGCACTAATAGATCCAAACATTTTTTTAACAGTCTTTTGCATATTAACACAAATATTTCCCCCTTTGATACTTGGCATTTCTTAACCTGAATTCAGTTGTCATGCATGATCATCTCACATTCACTATCAATTTAAATTTGTTGTTTAGGAACCCATGGGCGATATTCTGGTATTCCTTACAGGTCAAGAYGATATTGATGCTGCTGTTCAATTACTAACAGAAGAAGTTCATAATAACAGAAAGCACTCAGGTAACTTTTTTCGAGCATTTATTTTATTTGTTATTTCATAGTCATATACATGCTTTTAAGCTGAAATGGTTGTAGAAGTATATTTTATCTTTTATTATTTTCTTTTATTTTGGAAAATTAATAGATGCAAGTTCTATTCCATCATTCACTTCATTTTTGTAGCTTAGGGCTTTCTTGACTATTTTATGATGCATTTTGTCTATGTTACATAACCAATACAAAACTTAACTATTCTTCAAAAGGTGGTATATGGACTGCATGTCAGGTATTATTATTTATATAGTTGGACCCACCTGATTTTTGGGTTTTGGGAGATTTAGCTAAGATTAGTAAACGCAAGAAAGCTTTATTTAATAACTTTTAGAAGCATGTCATTATTAATATCGAATGGAGGAAATGTAAGCAACAAAACAATGCAGTAGGGATATGCCATGTATCCTATTATGTTGCGTCTGACATATGTAGTTACAGTGAAATGAAGGGTCAAGGACCACAAGGTATCATTGATTTTGATCAATAATCAATCTCTTTATGTTATTTGTTTTTTCTTATTACTAGATAGACCATATTATAATGTACTTGGCTTTAATCTCATCTGCATTTGACTAGGATGTACATCACAAAGTAAAATAGCCATATTCTCTTTTAGGCAGTACATGCTTTTAGGTCTAGGGTGATGCATACCGGGAAGAAAAAAATTGATTAGAAAAGGGTCTAATTTGCTATAATGAGCAGTCTTTGGGAAAACTGTTTTCTACTATGTCAGGTAAAAATTGCTCCTATGGGATGTATTATTTGTAACAATTATTGTACCCCTACTAATCCCCATAATTATTATTGTGAAATAATGTAATTTTCTATTTTTAGTAAATGTCTGAAGGCACATTCTTAGTATACTGAGTTTAAGTGAGATTAGGAAGTCCCTTGGCTTTTAACTCAAAATACAAACAGGCAAGTAATTAGGTTCCTTCAGCAAGTTCTTCTAGTAACTTTTAAGGTTTGCAGACTCATGCCTTCTGTATTACGTTATAAGGATCTTGTTATCTTAAATTCTCACACTTTTTTTTGAAGCCTTATGGGTGAAATTCATTCTTTAAATGTTCATAAATCATAGAAGCACAAACATCAAGAAAAGTGAAAAACACATAAACCAGACCAAACTTGCTGAGAAAAAAGAAAATCATGAGCACCGGGAGAAACTCACTTGAGAATCCTCTACAAGCAGCATAAAATTTGGAAATGCCAAGGAGGAATAAACCTCCTCCTACAGAGATAAATTCAGCAAGCATTGACTCCCTCAATAGTAGATCAAGAATCCAATGAGGGGTTTTGTTGATGGCAATTTCCATGGTAAGCCCCAAATCATGGCAAAAAAAAGCATAATTTGAAGGGTCACGTGTATCTAGGAGAAGGCCATATACCTCCTAGAAACATGAACAAGTTTTTCTTAAAATCAAAAGATCGTGTGCTACCAACCCAGCCAATCAAAAAAATCTTGAAGCCTTGTTCCAATCACTTCCCCAAAATATGAGAGTAAATTGTCTACTAACCAAATAAAACACTCCCAGTAAAGAATAACCATTGTCAGGACAAGGAGTGTTACACAAAGGGACGAGAGAAGTGCCAATATCCTGCCTTGAATGATATCCACCAAAACTGAAATGTCAGAGAGAGAACGGCTGCTAGAATGGATGGCCACACTAAGGTTGTCAGGACCAATAATTGCAGATCCAGCGCCGGTATATATTGGGTTGGTTCTGAATCGGTTTGGCACAAGGTGGAACCAGTTTCGAATTGATAGTAATCGGGACCCTATATCAGGACCTGGAACTGACCTGTCAGTTCCAGTTCCTGGAACCAGAACCGGCCCAATCGGTTCAGGTCCGTTGGGTTGGACCGACCCATTGACAGCCTTATAACAAGAGCAATGCCCTCCAATGCCTTAATATTAACAGAAAGAACCCCTCCAGGACAAACCACCTTCAAACCACTTCAAAGGATTATTCCAAACTGAGCAGACCAATCAGATGGTAGATATGCTAACCTTCAAACAGGATCAGAGGTTTTGGTGCCAAACCCCTGATGTGGACAGAAGAGAAAATTACAAGCAACACTTCAAGTATAAAACAATAAACACAAGAAATATCAAGCTAAAAAAAACCAAAACAAGTTGGATTTTAGGGGTTTCAGACCTGAACCTGAAGTAAAACTCCACTTGGAACAGTTCCGCTGCAGTAACAATGGCAGCAAGTTGGCCTCCTGCGTGGACACACAGCGATGGAGGGATTGGATGTGCCAAAATGGGTCGACTCCTTAAAACCCAAGTTCCCAATACTTGAAAACCCTAGCTGGGGCTGAGCTACATCTCAAACAAGAGAAAGAACCAAAAGACCCCTCCAAAAACAGCCCCCCTTCTCTTTCATTAGACCCAATGGCTTGCTGGAAAAGCCAATTAAAATATTTACACATAAACCCCTAGAATGTTTCCCATTCACAAGCAACTCCTTAAGAACAAAACTAACTTCAAACAAACTCCCAAAAATATAATTTTTGTTACAAAAAGACCCAAGAGATCAAATCCCAACAGATATGCACCCAACTGCCCCTGACCAGAATGACTTATAAAATGACGAAAAYACCCCTGGTACCAAACTGTCAACAAAGCTACCCAAAAACAACGATTTGGGATCCTACTACAGAAAACATGCAAAACAGAATACATTCACTTTTTTTCTTTTTTTTTGCCTCATCTTTATTGTTGGGTTAAAAAGAGCTCGACCCCGTGCGAATAGAAATTTTAACAGCCTTGCACATGTCTCCATCTAGCCTCATAAATTCCTCTTCACTAATCCAAGAGTTCTCTATTGATGGCTTCTCTTTCCACTTGACCAAGAACCTAAAATAAGCCCCATTTCGAGTATTGGTGACTCGAACATCTTTTACACACTCTACTTGTTCAAACTCATCAGAATTGCTGGCCCTTTGTGCTTGCCCTTTCTCAACCTTGGTTGTTGGTTCTAGATCTCCATGGTAATCAAAGAGGTTTGCTACATTAAAAATGGGTGAAATGGACAAATCAGCTGGTAGCTCAATTTCATATGCATTGTCACCAAACCGTCTCAGCACTTGACATGGACCAATCTTTTTCTGCTTCAACTTATGGTAACTCCCAACAGGAAATCTCTCAGTCCGCAAATAAACCATGACTAGATCGTCCTCATGAAACTCTTTCATTCGATGATGATTATCCTTAGGTTCTGTATACCATTGGTTGCTTTCTTTCAGCTTCCGTCGTACATTCTCTTGAATCTCTTGAATGGATTCAGCTAAAGCGTCAACATCATCACTCACTCACCACAACCCTATTATAGGAGCTAGATCAACAACACATTTAGGTGACCGGCCATACACAACCTCAAAAGGAGTCTTCCCTGTAGATCTATTAAGTGAATCATTGAACGAAAACTCAGCTTATGGTAGGATAAGATCCCATTGCTTTAAGTAATCTCCAACAAGGCTCCTCAACAAGTTGCCCAAGTTTCAGTTAACCACTTCAGTTTGTCCATCTGTTTGTGGGTGAATGTACTGTTATTTTGTAGGGTAGTACCCATGCACTTCCATAAAGTTCTCCAAAAGTGTTATATTGTATCACGATTTGACGTAATTGGCTTTGGAAATCCATGCAACCGAACAACTTCTTTAAAAAACAAGTTAGCTACATGAGAAGCATCAGAAGTCTTTTGGCAACCAATGAAGTGGGCCATTTTAGAGAAACGATCAACCATAACAAAAATAGAATCATAATCATTACCCCTAATTGTTCTTGGCAACCCCAACACAAAATACATAGTAATATAAATATTAGTCCATGGTTCTTTTGTTATGGGTAAGGGAAGATACAAACCTGTATTTTGATGCTGCCCTTTAGATATTTGGCACTTTTGACATCTATCAACATAGTAGAACACATCCTTTTGTAGCCTTGGCCAAAAGTACCTTTTGGAGACCATTTCAAGTGTCTTCTTGCAACCAAAATGTCCCTTGCAATGCAAATCAGCAATGAGTAATGCCCTCAAAGATCTTGATGGAATACATAACCTATTGCCCATGAATAAGTAACCATCATTCCACACAAACTTGGCTTGAATGTTCTTGTCACCTGCTGCATAGCTTCCACAAATAGGGCCAAAATAAGGGTCATCTTGGTATTGGTCTTTGATGAAGCTGAATCCCACAACATTAGTAGATATTGTAGTCACCAAGTGAACTCTCCTACTAAGTGCATTGGCTACCTGGTTTTGTTGTCTTGCCTTATGCTTCAAACCATAGTTTTATTCTTGTATAAAATCAACCCATTTAGCATGTCTTCCCTTTATCTTCTGTTGGGAGTTAAGGTGTTTCAATGCTTCATGGTCTGAATACAACACAAATTCCCGTTGGATAAGGTAATGCCTCTAAAACTTCAAGGCCTGTACAATGGCATAAAACACAACATCATAAGTGGAATACCTCCTTCTAGCATCATTGAGTTTTTCACTAAAGTAAGCAACTAGACGACCTTCTTGGCTAAGGACAACTCCAATCCCAACATGGGATGCATCACATTCAACTTCAAAGAGCTTGTTAAAATCAGGTAAAGCTAGTATTGGAGCCTTGGTCATCCTCAACTTTAGCTCTTGGAAGCTTTTCTCAGCTGCTGTAGTCCAAGTAAACTCACATCCTTTCAAGCATTCAGTAATGGGTGCCACAATAGTGCCAAAATTCTTTATAAATCGACGATAAAATGTTGCTAGCCCATGGAAACTATGAATTTCAGTTAAGGTTCTTGGTGTTGGCCACTCTTGAATAGCTTGAACCTTTTCTTGATCCACTTCAATTCCCTTATCTGAAACAGCATACCCCAAAAACACTAACCGATCTGTCATAAAAATACAATTTTTCAAATTTATATATAGCTGATTTTGTCTCAAGACTTGTAGGACTGCTCTCAAGTGTTCTAA